CCCAATTTCAAACATGTGGGTCAAACGGTTCCTGAGTTATCGTTGACCGAAACCAAATGTTGACGGACGGACGGACGGACGGACGGACGTACGACGGACGACGACCCATGGCAATAGCTCAACTTGACGATGTCAAGGTGAGCTAACAAAATTAAGGGCCTGTTCAATTTGTCTAAGGGCCAGTTTAAAATTTTGGGTGGGCCTGTTCACATTTTGGCTAATTTCACGCCCTGCAACAAGCACAGTCTGTATCTCTACACAACGATACGGTGCATATTCATAAACTACATATATATAAATTGTATATCCACACATAACATACACAGTGTACATGATAACATATACAGTGTACATAACATATCAGGAGTTAATAATGACAATTTGTCATTATTAACTCCTGGACATATGTATAACCATCTAAACTTCGTAACACGTTCGTGTATGGTATAACTATGCAAAACGTGAACAATGTGACAATGTATACTCTTATACAATACACATAAAATGTATATATGCAAACACAGAATACACAATACACTGCATACAAAAGGTATATATATATTCATGTACAACATGTTCGACTTGGGTTGTATATGTCGGTTCTATAGGAATCTTTGCGACTGCCACATATTCGATTTTATTGCCAGTTTTTCTCGTGTGTCGTAAGAATTGCAGAGGTATTTGGTTTCAAATTTAAACCAACTAGAGTTGCACGAACGCACAACTGTCAGTCGCTTGAAAATAATTACTTCTATTATATAGGGATAGTTCCCTATTATCTACTCCTGCTTCTATCAATCTGCAAGGTTCCAGTCAGGTTCAGTCACGTTTCAGTCCAGTCAGGTTCTAGGCAGAGCTTGCGATATCATGGCTTTGATCACGCCATAAAAACTTGATACCGATGACTGTACAGCCGTGACCAATGTTTGAGTTTATGGTGTAATGTACCTAGTATTTCACATTAATTCCCAATATTACGGTACTAACATGTTCCATAAAAATGTGCTCAGAAAACGTGAGATTAGAACTTTCAAAAATTACGACAAATTTTCCGAGTTCCCCATTACAAAATTGGAACTGCATTCCGTGAAAAGATTTTTCGACCAAAAGTATTACGAGCACAATTATGAATACAGGCAAATATCTTTTATCCTGGCAGTGTGATCATTACATTAAATTCAATATTAAATCAATGGGTTTCATTGATTTAATATTGAATTTAATGTAATGATCACACTGCCAGGATAAAAGATAAACAAAACAAGTGAATTTAAATCAGCAAAACTGTATTTGAGTGTGACATACTAAAAAGTGGTACAATGGAGAATGGGCTATAATTATTTGAATAGTGAGAGAGGGGCTCTATTAGCATTAGTATACATCTATGACATCCCCCTCGTGGCAAACAGTCCCCTTCAACGGTGCACATCAACAATAAAGGTCAAATACAAGTCACAGTTATGACGCGCCCTGCTATACATTCCCATGCGTAAGGTAGAGGTGGAATTCGCCATAGGGGATGTATACCACGCTAAACCGGCTGAATCACCACGTAAATTGCTATCACTCATCTTGAATTAGAACGCGCACCAGAGACCATAGATATAACGCCCGTAGGGTCTATGTCTCCTTGACCTCTGTTTGACCTGGCTCGTTTAGCTATTTCTGACTAACCCTAACCCTAACCATATCAGATAGTTACCAGGGTTAGAGTTAGTCAGAAATAGCTAAACGAGCCAGGTCAAACAGAGGTCAGGGAGACATAGACCTTATCTGCATAGATAACAGATATGTCAGCCATACCTTCTTGATGCAGGTTTTAGTTTTACTGATCATTAGAAAAAGTTTACAATACTTGGCCAGGCCACAAATCAATTGGGGTATATAAGTTAACTATAAGCAACATCCTTGTTTCAAAGGAGGCACTTTGGCATTACCGTTCATATATAAGAAATAAGCATAATTATAATATAAATTTTGTATAAGATACAATACTGCAACTCAACACAGAGTAGGTTATCTGATCTGTACTGGGTTACATTATTGTATCTTATTTAGTATATATGCAGCAGATAGCCGCACTAGTTTACTTAAGCTACACTAAAATGCCACCATATAACGTTCAAATGTTTAAATAACTAAGTTTCAGCACTTGAGCAGTTTTTTGCTCAAGTGCTGCCAATGAAAAGTGTATGCAAGTTCGTGACGTTTTTCAGTAGCTTTGCAAAACACAGCACTATTGTGAACACATATTATATTATCAGGAGCTAATAATGACAAATTGTCATTAATTTGTCATTATTAGCTCCTGATATTATGTAGAATGTGTAAATTCTCTTACTGAATGTGCTATACTATTAGTATTTGCCACAAATTCTGTAGGACAATAGAATTATTAATCCCGCAATACACTATACTAGTAAAACTATTATCACCAGCATATACTGTTCGTTTGTTTTACGGATTGCATTGGATGTCCAAATAATTCACTACTACTGCACTGCATAAACTTTTCAGAATATGTAAAGATATTGAGTCATTGACTAAACCGAATGACAATCATATGGTAATATGGTACACTTCTTATTACATAGCAAAAGCCTATATGCACACTGTTGGTGGTCGGGTGTACTTGCACCATACTACGGGAGTTCAACCCACAGTAAATTATATAAACCGCAACAGTCATATATATGACGGTTTTTGCAAATCATTAATTATCTACCTACTCGCACTGGATATTTGTGCTTTTGCATCACATGTACTTATCATTCTTAGACACAAATGCCTGTGTACAAGATTTTAGACATTTGTACTTTTAGCTGCTTTAATCGGAGATCAGCAAAAGCTAAACTTCATAAAAACGAATACACATGCACTTGGGGTTATATCATTCTATGCTTTTGATAAATGGTACTTGCAGTATAAACGTCCAGGGAGAGCATAAGAATATATGAGCGAACCTACATGTTATATAAATAACAGTGAATGAGACCTCAACTTGCTCATTTTACGTACAGCTAGAGTTGATAGATAGGGACCAAATGCTGAAACATGCAGGTGCAGGCGAAGCATTGTTTGTACTATGTACAGGTGCATGCTTCACGTAGGCCATAATAAAAATATTGTTTGTTTGCCCTCACCCGACGAACCCGGCAAAAAGCGGAACCCGACTCAAAAAAATTGTATTGAATCTTCCAATTGTACCTTTTACACAATTGTATCACTGTACATTATATAACTCTGCTAGCAATAATTATTATAAGCTCATAGGCGTCTATGTGCCCCAGGGTACTGCCCGGAACATACCCTGGTCACTATTTTGATATGGTTAACCTAGGGTTAGGATTAGGATTAGGGTTAGGGTTAGCGGTTAGGGAGTAGGGCGTAGGCACTCCCTCAGACTCCATTAGGGAGTAGGCGAGGTACCAGTCCAGCATATTAGATAGCTACCAGGCGTACGTTCCGGCAGTTACCCCGGGGACATAGCCTCTCAGCACTATTATCATGTACCAAGCAAAACAAACATTCAACACATAAAAGGTATCGCCACACAAGCACATCCCGAGCATGTAGACAACATGCTGAATTTAGATGCTGATAAAGTTTATTAAGACCTCCCTCGGCAAAATAAAAAGAAGCCTTACCACCCTCCAAACTTTTCAGCCGAGTCGGGTTAGGGCCAAACAAAGATTTTTTTAATTGTGGCCCCGTAATGGGAAGTAGATACAAAAAGTAACCCAAACAGACCTACTTGATTGTGTTACATTATTGATTGCATGTATGTGCGACAGGTACATGGTTCAGGTTCCTGTGTGGACAGGAGAGGCTGTGAAACATAGCATGTGCATACAGTTGATAAATATTTTAGGTGGTAGAGGTATCTCCTTTTTTAACCGGGCCGACGAAGAGAGGTTCTACGCGAGTTTAGGACCTCGCCAATGTTGTTCGCAATATGTTACTAATCTAATCTCGGGGTGCTTAAACTAAGCTTGGGCCCACATTCAAATGAGGTGCACGTGTCACTACCGACAGTACTGTTCACTATACACTACATATAAGTGACTCAGTATTGCTCATCTAGGTCTATGTACCCCAGGTACTGCCACAACATACCCTGGTAACTATCTGATATGGTTAGGGTTAGGGTTAGCGGAGTAGGTGTAGGCGACTCCCTACTCGTAGGTCAACGGGGCTTTAGTTGAGCATACATTTTGCTTTAAGTGCTTTATGCAAACACTACAGTACAGACTACAGTGTTTACTACTAGTAGTAGTACTACTCGCAGTACTACTACTAGTGCTACTACTACTACTACTACTAGTAATTAGTATAACTCACCTAGCTAATAGTAATATACTAATAGCAATCACGTTCAAACGCGACGAATATTCATCTGAGTTTGAAGCTCCACCGACGCAGAACGGCGAGTGTAGAAACGAAGTAACTTCCTAACACAGATAATACTAATACGTAATACTAATAGTAATACTAGTAGTAGTATTAGTAATATTAATACACTTGCGGCTAGGGCCTGCATACCTCCCAACTCCCATTGGTTGATACAAATATAGTTAATTTTTTTAAATAAATTGTAATTTGTGTTAGGGTTAGGGTTACGGTTAAGGTTAGAGTTGGGGTTAGGGTAGCTCTAGTAACTATAGCCCGCGTACAGTTGCCCGCAGGTATGGCAGTGCCTGCAGGCCTGAGTAGAGCCAGGTACTAGAGCGAGGGTTAGGGTTAGGGTCGCAATGCACCATAAAAGTTTTATTAAAACAGGAGTTTCAGGCACATGATTTGTATCAACCAATGGGATTTGGGAGGTATGCAGGCCCTAGCTGCGAGTTACTAATAGTAATACTAGCTTACTAGTAATACTAGGCCTACGTTCGGATTTTGTGACCTAGCTAATTCCAGTTGCAGTTATAACTTATAAGTTATATGTCTATCTTGAGTTCTAGTACTTCTACAAGTACTTTGCATAATAATTATATAGCTACCTTACACACTTGACTTGTGCACCTTCCTTCGACGACGTCCTAATCCTTGCTTACTTGGCACATATTTTTTATCAGACTTTCAAAGTTCAACCAACAGTTCGATCGGGTAAACAACGACGGCGCTACTCTAGGCACCTTACATCATTCCTATATTTAGAAACAGGACGTCATATCCGACCAATCGCAGTACAAACAGCGTTCCTAAAATAGTACATAGTTGCACCATAGATGTCGCTAAAACTCGGCGAACGGAGTGCTCTTTTGGCAGTCTTTTGGTAATTTTGTATCCGCATGTTATTATGCATTTTTGGCCCCATAATTCGCAAACTCATAGTCAACGACAAAAAAACCAACCTATTGTATAAGCGGTTTTACAAATTTACAAGAATATGCATATACGTTTTATGGGAAAATTGTTGTTCGTACTATTATCATGATATTGATAATATAGTTATTATCTGACGTGAGATGGCGCGCAAACTGTCAAAAATTTGCTCAATGGCTGCGCCCTTTAGCTGGGGGAAATACTGTGTCGCACATCGACATTATCTAGGAAAGGACATTGAATTGCCATATTAGTAATACTTACATATATTCTTTGTGGGAATACACGCCATTGGTTACCGATATACTGTGGTTGTTATCCTATTACGCTAAAGTAGACGTGCAATGCACCGCTACAAAATAATACTAATAGTAGTCTATAGGCCTAGTACGTAATAGCGGCTGTGAACTGCTTGATATAGTCTGTCTGTACTGCATAGGCTATAGTCGTAAACAATGACGCTAGTTTGAGGCTATCTATAACCATACATTTCTCTTCATGTGTGCATCAATGGCTTTCATCACACGTGCTGTGCTGCCAATGTGCAAGCAGCACCAACAGAAATGTTTATACTTGGCTTCAAAGAGCTGTGTGTGCAGCAATCAACGTCAAATACACACATACCCCAAGTTAAAACCAAGTGCATATCAACACCGTGGTTACTGTCCTCCGGTTCTGGCACTCGAGAGCCGTTTGTTCTGGACACACTCCACCAGGGGGCCCCTCATGACGGGCGACTACGAATGGCAAGATCCAAAGTCAGAAGACGAAGTCGTAAACATTACGTACATAGATAGAAAGGGCAATCGAGTAGCCGTGCGAGGTAAAGTCGGCGATAACGTCATGTATCTCGCACACAGGTACGGTGTTGAACTAGAAGGTGCGTGTGAGGCATCACTGGCCTGCTCCACATGCCACGTGTACATACCGTACGAGTTACTGGAAAGGTTACCCGAACCAAAAGAGGCCGAAGAGGATATGCTGGATATGGCTCCAGCCCTGAAGGACAATTCAAGATTAGGTACATTTGATTTTAATGTCTCCACTCACCCACTGTGAAATTGCTGTGGTGGCTCTAAATGAGTTCATATTCCAGGATTATAAATGAACTTTTTTGCCTGACAGCAAGTATTGACTGCCAGATAAAAAAAGCAGTCCGTAAACTTTCCCACCCAGGCAGAAACATGTGAGAATGATAGCTGTGCCACTCACTCCCACCCCAACAGTATTATCATGAAGGATAATTCCGGATTAGGTACATATACTTATAATATATGGACTGCGAGATTGTACCGCTGGCTCTAAATGAGCTCATATTCCTATGTGTATGGAAATGCTAGACAAATTTATTGTAGGTATGGACCGACATTACATCAATTGATTTCAGATTGCTTCTCCCATGCTGCAGTCAATGTCTTCTATCTATTGGAGCAGTATTCTAAAAAAATGCTTGCATTAATGGCTTGATATTTCTTACAGGTTGCCAAATCATCCTAAACAAAGACTTGGATGGAATGGAATTGACACTTCCACCAATGACGAGGAACTTCTATGTGGATGGACACGTTCCAGAACCACATTAGAAGCACTAACGAGTTCTTTCAATAGGTGCATTCTGTATACAGTAGAGCATGTTCCTAAAACTGTTAGAAGAACCACTGATCTCGCGATCAGAGACAGCACCTACGATCATGTTTGCGATGTGAAATGGTTCCACCCAAGAGCATGCAAGTTATTTGAGCATTGCTAGCTTACATGTGTGTACGCGAGTCATTTTCTATTGAGTAAAGGAAATTGTGCCAAAATTAGTGTATAGTATATTTGTAGTGTTCTTGGGAGCCATGCGATATAACTTATGTAGGGGGTGGGAAAACCATGACTGTGTATTTACCGCTATGCTTATTTAGCTATTAAACTACCTCACTTGCTGACCTGGCATTTGTTACTTGTTTTTAAAAGATCTAGATCTGAGCTTGCATTATGTTCTTGTAAAACATCTGCCAACAACCATAAAGTGCTTCCAATAGTCTAACTACTGTCAACTGCACTAGTGTTGTGTTTTAATAGATTAAAATAAAGCTGTAGTGCTAGAACTAGTATGGCAGCAAAAAATGACAAAGCAGGTGTCCGGTGAACATTGAACTCTTGATTTAAACACAGTAACCAGATTTAGCTAAATAATTAATCAATTAAATGTATATAACCATTTAAACTAAATCTCGGTTCAATTTCCTTTATTTCTCATAATATACTCAAACAAAACACAATGCTACAATAAATATAAGTAATGAGCGAGTTGATATACAGATCATACCTGTAATTTAAATTAGATTCCAATATACATGATTTCGAGGGATGATTTCAAGGCAAAACCTGACTGAATGCTTATTATATGATGGTCTTTTACTTCAGCATTCACAAGCACATCACGTTGTTCTGTTGTTCATGTTTGTTTGGGTTTAATGTTTAAAGTAAACAACAGAATAATTCACTTTACATTTCTTGTATGCAGAACTTAGACATTCACCATCACATCGACAATTGGAGAGGGGGAGAGAGAGCTAGAGAGAGGGAAATTGAGAGAAAGCGAGAAGAGAGATAGAGCGAGAAGAATCTGACAAGTTTTAGTAAAGGACAATGTAAGTGAGGCTAAAAATGATAACCTTTGTTGGGTGGAAGCTGTGGTCGATGAACCAAACTCAATTCATGAGAAGAACGATCAGTTATCACTACAGGTTATGACATGGTATATATATATATATATATCAGGAGTAGATAATAGGGAAGGAGTGTGACTTTAATAAACAAGGGAAATTCGTCATTTACTAGCCTTAGAATACCTATGATTTACTACGCGTAACTCAACCAACTTGAGCTCAAATCGTACACAGTACATTTGCCTAGCATCGTGCGAAATCGTTTCCTCATATACACCCGCAATCCGGAGATACAGACTAAACCGTACGACACGATTTTCCATTCTGTTGCCAGCAAACTCGATGTGTTAACCGCCTAACTCGAAACAAAAGGCAGCTGTAGATTGGTAAAAGGTTAGCTCAGCGAGCCACACCGCATTGCCAAGGGCGCAAGTCGTTAGTAGCTGCCTTTTGTTTCGAGTTAGGCGGTTAACACATCGAGTTTGCTGGCAACAGAATGGAAAATCGTGTCGTACGTTTTAGTCTATCTCCGGATTGCGGGTGTATACGAGGAAACGATTTCGCACGATGCTAGGCAAATGTACTGTGTACGATTGGAGCTAAAGTTGGTTGAGTTACGCGCAGTAAATCGTAGGTATTCTAAGGCTAGTAAATGACGAATTTCCCTTGTTTATTGAAGTCACACTCCTTCCCTATTATCTACTTCTGATCAAGAGCGGATAATACCTAGAGTGTACAACGGAAAAACGGGAAAATAGTGCTATTTCACGACTACATTATTCTACTTTGCCTGCGAGTCTAGAATAATTTGATGGTATTGCATTAAGCAGAATTCTTTGCTCTCTAAAACAAGACCAACCGCTTGTCAATACGATACTCCTAGGCGGAGATATCGGCTCCTAAACCTCCCCTCCCACATGCCAAACGCCACCTCGAATCCACTTCTGCCACCATCCTACACGCGGGTAAGCATTTTGGCTATCGGTTTCCGTCACCACTTGGAGCGCTGATAATTGATGTCATATGCCCAAATTTGGTACTGTTACTACACTTAGTAACTGAGCTGCGTTGTAAAAACTTGATGGAGCCGGCTCCATCATGACGGGCGTTAGCCGTGCTAGGAAAGATAATGGAAGATAAGGGCATAGGCGATGCCCCCGAATGTCACCTATGATAACCGAAGCGCCGTCCATTCATAAATTTATCGCGGAAAAACCGAACTTTCACGAAGCAACGCTTAGCCGCGTGTAGGATGGTGGCAGAAGTGGATTCGAGGTGGCGTTTGGCATGTGGGAGGGGAGGTTTAGGAGCCGATATCTCCGCCTAGGAGTATCGTATTGACAAGCGGTTGGTCTTGTTTTAGAGAACAAAGAATTCTGCTTAATGCAATACCATGAAATTATTCTAGACTCGCAGGCAAAGTAGAATAATGTAGTCGTGAAATAGCACTATTTTCCCGTTTTCCGTTGTACACTCTAGGTATTATCCGCTCTTGTTCTGATATATATACATGACACCTGCTATGGTATTTGATGAGTAAAATATAAAGTGTGCAGAACTTATATTTTAACATGTTCTTCTTCCACATTTACCTTCCACTGAATCTACAGAGCAAATGATAAACAGATTGAAATCTCAGATAGAATTCTAAATAGACTGCATAATCATTAGTCACACCTTGAAGATTTAAAAAAAAATCTAGCTCCGAGTCAACACACACATGGAATAAAGATATGTGATGAATTTATGCGCAAGCTCCATGTTCAGTTACTACACTGACACTTGTGTATATTTCACTGACAACCGGTAAACCATCGCGTTGTTACAGCTCCATGCACAAATGTGCACAATAAGCAACAACCATAAGATCTTTGGGACCTCTTATAAAGAGGAAATACCTATCGAATATATACATAATAATCATAATTACCTATCATTAAGTTAACCAAGACAGATACGCTGCTACAACTTTGGTAACAGATTTCTATTATCACAGACCTAGACAAACTTGCACACATCACAGAAACATTTCTCGGATATTCGTGAGAAAACTGAACAATTTCAAAGACATTTCCTATTGCTGTTTGTGAAACTAATGGGAAATTAGTAGAAATTGAGATATCCACATTCTTTCAATCGGATAGCCTACGCTGCATTACTATTCTCAGCAGGCAGATATAACTTGAAATTCTGCAAACATTAATTGTGATGAAATATGGTTTGAGTTGCGGATCAAAGCGACAGTCTCACCACAACATTTGCCAAACATTCAGAAATTTTCTCAAGTAATTCTAAATAGAAAAGACTTGAAGTGACTTTGCACCATAGGTGTCAACACTGTCTATTGCACTTGCTGAAATAATTTGGGTCTTGATATTGGGTGACTCGGTCTGTAAAACATGTCACAGAGATGACCAAGTAGGGTGAAAGGGCTTATTAGGTCTATAAACGTTAGAAACTATTATGTTTTTAACTTAAATTTTTTTTAAATCCTCACGAGTACAACCGCTCATAATTCTCGTTCAGTGTCAACGTCCGTAACGAATAGTTCATAAATAATTGCAAATAAATGTTAATTCCACTACACCACTTCCAAGCATCATCGTCTCTCTCACCGGCACATCATCAGCTGGCTATTACATAATCAGGTCATTTGCCCACTTCAGCTTCTTCACTAAATATCACACAATATTGCTTAGTATGAAGTAGGAAGACCTCTCGCTACTGGAATATTAGAAGCTACGTTGCTTATTGAATTTACATATTATGCAAATACCTGTCTATCGGATAGCAGGTTTTCTTTTACTCCAGTTCATTCCATCGTACAGCAGATTTTCTTTTACTCCAGTTCATTCCAAATCTCAGTTAATTTACCCTGCAAGTATGCCTTGCAATCATTTTTCTTTTAATTTATAAATTTCTTGTTTGATTCGTGGCAACATTTGGATGCTGTGCATTCACTTAATTTTACGACACCATGTGACAAAGGTACAGGCTGGACCCCATGAATATAGAAAGCTTGGGACCAGTCCAGTTCTGGATCAGTGAAAATTCTGAACCATCAAAGATGATGTTAGAAAAGGTAAAATATTGCATATACTGCATTATTACTGATATAACTTACATAAAGCATAAACCTAACCAAGGCTTACTGGACCTCTTTCTAACAAACTGTTAGTGCTGTGGTGCAGGTTTACTGCACTATAACATAAAAATTAGTAATTAGTAGATGAAGCTAACGTTCCTTAGAATCAAATCACCATTCCGAACCATCGAAGCTGCCTAATAATTGGATTTTACAGATTTGTACGGTTCAACCTGTAACTTCATTTACATACACACATATTATCACATAATGATTACGTATAGTGCATTTACGCACGACAGTGAACAATGGTTTCGATATATGCTATTGAATTAAATATTAAATTGCACACACATGCACGCACCCACACGCACGCATCTACACACGCACACATGCACGCACCCACACGCACGCATCTACACACGCACACATGCACGCACCCACACGCACACATGCACGCATCCACGCATCCACACACATGTGTAACACCAGACAAAGGTAGAGGAACAAGTCGTTGAATATTGTCGAACAGGTTAACGAGGTCTTGTAACAGACCAATAACACTCCAGGGGAAGGACCTGTTAAAAAGCAACAGGGGGAAGCAGCAAGATAGAACCCACATTTCGACATCTAGACAATGAGGTAAATGGAATGAGAAATTTAAGATCAATGTAAGAAATTCTGCCAGGCAGCATTAAGAAGAGCCAAAAATGGTTCACGTATTTGTTTCTGTATTTTTTCAAATTTTATAAAATAACGTTATTTTAGAGTAAAACATTTATTGCACCGGACATGCATTGGATTGTAACCATATATTAAGATAAATTGCTACATGAGTTTGTAACTGACTATTTCTCCATCACGATGCTCATAAAAGAATACAAATCACTGATGATATAGGTAAAACAGCGCATCTATCACCTCCGTGCAAATCAGCAGTCTACTGACGTTAAAACTTTTGGACAAACAAGGTGAAGAACAACATAATAATAATAATAATAATAATGGCAATGAAGATGAGTATGATGACGATGCAGATTGCAATTCCCATAATGATTATCATGACAAGGATAAAAATGAGGATTTTTCTAATTCGTTAATTTCAATATAACATCGACTTTCCCTTGCAATAACAAGTGATAAAACATGTTGAAGGCATCTGACAACAATTACAACAAAACAAGGGATGTTAACACTGACTAGTTACTTTTACAATTTGACTAATTACAAAAGCAAAACACTAACCCAAGGCATCAGGTCCAATCAGTGGCACCTGTCCATATCAACAATCATTGAAAATAGTATATTATGTCTTTTTTATATTACTTTACTTCAAAACACCAAGATATTGTTTACACGTACATACGCTAAACTGCCACCAGGTAGCGCTGCTCAAAGTACGGTGACCTTCAAACCTAAAGGTAAGGTCACTTATGGTTAGGCGGCTGTTGCACACTCACAACGCTGAGAATTACATTAAAATACTGATATTACAACGACAGAGCATATTCGGCGAATCACTGATGTCCTAAGCTAATCTTGTTTGCCACATCCATGAGATGAGTTCCAGCTGTTGTTCATCGGACATTCGTTTCTCACTCCCATTCCTGCCAGGGTTCCTTTCTATGTCGCGACAGCCTTCGGCACCTCCCCCACTGCCCTTCCTGGCTTCCTTTCTATGTCGCGACAGCCTTCGGCACCTCCCCCACCGGTCACCTTCCTCCCAGGCTTCCTTCCTACGTCCTGACAGCCTGCTGGACCTCCCTACCAGGGTTCGTTTTAGTCACTGACAGCTGTGGACCTCCCCCACCGGTCACCTTCCTCCCAGGCTTCCTTCCTACATTCAGAGATGAGAATGGCCCCGGACGAAATCTGCGGGATATATTTCTACTTACTGGAAGAAATAGCGAAAAGCGCAATAGTGCAAGCACTGCATGTGTGAAGCACTTTCGGAGATGTGGTTGGGGGTGCTCTCCTAGAAATTTTTTCCAATTACATGTTTGCAGACCGTTTCTGAGGCACGAAATTTCGAAAACTAGCTTGTCATAAACGCCGCCATTACGCACACATTTCACGCAGTGCGCGAATGATAGTAGATTTGGATCGGCCGCGGAATGGCGAGTCTCAGAGGGCCAAAAGAGCCATCGACTAGCCGCGGGGACAGTTTGTCACTGTTTGCGGTTGGCAGTACACCCCCCCCCCTACAGTTTTCTCAATGGATTTGAACGATTTGGAAAACTGATCTTTTTCGAAAGTGCAAAACGCGGGAAACCGCGGATCCACGGGAGATTCTCATCTCTGTACATAGCGACATCCTTCGGCACTTCCCCCACTGGTCACCTCCCTCCCAGGCTTCTTCTCTACGTCCTGACAGCCTTCGGCACCTCCCCGATGATGGTCTCTGTCTCGAATTCCTCCATCTCCTCCTCCAGCTCGTCGAGGTCCGACTGGATCTGGAAGTAGGATGCGGCGCGCGTCGGCCACAGCATGTGCACGAGCACGACGTAGGCAAACAGGTCCGCCGAGCTGGTGACGGCTGCAAGGCAAGAGACATCGCACGTTAGCTAGCTATTAAATACAGGTGTGTGTAGCTGGTGACGGCTGCAAGAGCGAACAGACGACATACGCACGTTAGACTAGACTATTAAAACAGGTAGTGTGCAGCTGGTGACGGCGTGACGATCGTCGGCGTCGCAGTGGTACGGATCGAGCTCCGGTTCGGTCGGCGGCGATCGGTCGGGCGGTCTGGCTTGGTTTAGTCAATCAATCAGCCATCTAGCTAGCCATCCAGTCAGCCATCCAGCCAGACAGTCATCCATCCTGCCTGCCACCCACTCAGTTAACCAGCAGGCCTGCCTGCCATCCACTCAGCTAACCAGCTAGCCTGCCTGCCACCCACCTAGCAGCAGCCAGGACAGCCTGCTATCCAACAGCAGCCAATTAGACCTGCCCTGTCACCACCTCAACCCCTATCTGGCTAGCTACCTGCCACCCACTTAGCCAGCCAGTCAGACAGCCTGCTATCCAACCAGCCAGCCAATTAGCCTGCCTGTCACCCACTCAGCTATCTGGCTAGGCTACCTGCCACCCACTTAGCCAGCCAGACAGATAGCCTGCTATCCAACCAGCCACCCAATTAGCCAGTTGCAGTAAGTGATGCTGTCATGCCTCTACTAATGAATCCTCTGTCAAGATATCGTTTGGTGGATGTGACAAGAATTCCCATTCAAAAATACCACAGAATTGCAAGTAATCATTCGACAAGAGAAATCGTGCATTAGTGAAAGAAATCAATTGCTACTAAGCAAACCAGTAACGTCTCAAAATACGTAACTGTAGCCTGCAATGATTTGTGTCAGTTGTGGCATGGTATTTTGCCTCATATTCGCTATGGGAGCTCATTTTATGATTGTCAGTAAGTGTGCGTGTTTATATCAGCTAAAACGCATTTAAATTGACTACGTCACAAATTTTCTATGGTGTATATTTGTAAAATGTTTGTTGCCATTTTTTTACATTAAAAGTAAGTACTAACTGGACTAAATCAGAACCTGACTAAATGTATCGTCAAATTCTTACCTGATAAAATTGTTTCTCAACTAGTTAAAAATCCAAAAAACATGGACGATTGGATATTATAATCCTGACATTAATTGCTTGCTATGAGCTATGTATGAGTCATGAATGTATGTTTACATCGAACAATATAGTAAAATAGGAAGTATAATGCAGCAATTTAACCATAAAAAGTGAACAGAATTCACTGGGATTACTTACATTTTGTGAAAAAGTGGAAATATTTTTTTTTACTTTTACTATTTACGGTGACGTAATCACTTTAACAAGCACATCATTTCGACTAATTTTATTACAAAAGCAAGAACGCATCTGATGAGGGAAACAATGTGTAGAGGAGCCAATCCCAGTGATGCAGGTCCATTTATATAATATGCCGCTTCCCAGCTCCCAGTTATATAAAATTGCACGGTTGACTTCTATTCCTGAATCACACAAAAATTGGTATTCCCCGGTTGCCAGATAATTAAAATGGCCCAATCCAGCATACCAAAAATAACTGTTACCCTTCCATATATATCTCCATCAGCGCTAAGTTATAATAACCTCTCGTGTTTCGCTTTGCGGACACGCATGCACCTTTTCCATTAAAATACGTGTGACATCACAGGTAATGAAAGTTAATTAAGACAGTTATTCCTGCAATTTTTCAGCTCGGGAAATATCTATGAAAATTTCAGGATAATTCCAGTCATAATAACTGACTTCTTTAACAGTCCTTTTCAAAAGCACAGCACAAGATCCAAATGCGTGTCAGCACCGCGACATGTTACACGAGAAAGGCTTACAGTTACACTAGCCGACAGCCCGTTAATAAAAAATTCTAGCGAAATCGAAATCTAGCTAAACACTCATGAAGAGCTAGCCAGTCAGGAGAAACATAGACACGTGAAAGGAGAGACATAGTTATCTAATCCGTGTTAGTTAATTAGTTAAATAGTTAATAGTTAATAGTTAATTAGTTAATAGTTATCTAATCCGTTATCTAAACAGCTCATCTACTGCTGCACGCGGATTACACGGACACACTTGAGCCATTTCTAAGAATAAAATTAAGGTAGATAAGAGTTTAGAGGGTCCAGATAGGGGGAGACAGAGAGATCTCTAATAGTGAGAGAAACGATATATATAGAGAGAGAGGGGAAAGAGAGGGGGAGAGAGAGACATAGAAAGCGAGAGAGAACGCGAAATGGGAGAGCACACAAACCGTGACAGAAAACTGACGCACAGAGTAAACTCGGGTCCCACCATATCGCATCACCGTGACACACAGATGCAACGTGGGCAGACCACACAGATCAATAGCTGCGGAAACATTGCAGATACAGTACAGCGCAGACGATAGGCGACAAACGCAAACACAAAATCCTCGCCGACGATGAATACCACACGATCCGACGGCTCTCCCAGTGCTCAACCTCCGGATCATTTATCCGTAATTGCATCAGATAGCATGCCACCACCATATTCCATCTCAAACGAACGACAGCGATACACGACATATCAATTGCCTCGCATATTTAACAAAAAACTGGCTCGTTTGCATTCCTTGCACACGCCTTTTAATTTGGAAACGCATTTAAACGTAATCTTTAGGAGGATTAAGATCATCCGTGCTGAACCAACAATTTATATAAAAAATGAATCCCTAGTAAAGGTGCACAACTCCTAAATCATGACTACTAATCCACCCCATCCCATCTAGCATGATATGATGACTTATGATCATCAGAATTCCTTTCGTCGGTGATTAGTTGCAGCGTATTCCTTTGCTCGCATACAGTATATCTCGAGTCAAGCAAAGCTCTGCAGTTCCTGCCTTAACGATGGCAGGCTTTCTCTCACAAACACACGCACGCACCTCATAAAGCACGCTGCCACGCACACACGCACGCACCTGTACGTACGCACGCACGCACGCACGCACGC